AGGGTAAGCGGAGGGACCCTTATTAAGGACCCCTAGGTATATACACTTAATATAGCTATGATATACCCATGATATAGCCCATTATAGGGTAGGGGTCCCCAGTAAGGGTCCCTCCTTTTCCCCTTTGAGTGTAACTCTAGAGCAAACCTCTCGAGTACCAGGCAAAGCTCTCTTTGGACCAAGCCTGGAGCTTGAGGTCCGATGCGGCGGTACCTTTCAAGGGATCCTTATATTAGGGTTCCTTAAAGGGTTCTATAAGGGTTCTATAAAGGGTTTAGGGTTTAGAGTTCCCGAAAATGAGCGGTACATACCTTATTTCGGGGTCCTTAGAATGAGGATCCTAGTGTTTAGGGTGCATATTAGGGTCCCCTATTTCGGAAAAGATGCAGAATATAGGGGCCTAAATAGTTACCTATATTGATTTTGTTGAGGGGTCCTGTTTATAATAAGTATAATGGCCCCCCAAAGCCCTATTCCCATTGTTTAGGCCCCTAGATTATGGATAGTTCTCCAAAGAAGGGTCCCTTTTTAGGTCCTCTAAAAGGGATCCTGATTTAGACAACTACCCAATGTCGGATCTGGAAAGGGGTTCAGAGCGGTTTTACAGGGTGTGATAACTAGCTCAAAGTCCTTTCCATGCTGCAGAGGGGCCTCATTATTTAGTATATTAGAGTTGTCAAGTGGGATTGTTGCTTGGCATCTTGAGACTATGAATCCCTAATTCAGAGGTGCTTACAATGACAATCCGACTATGTAGGAATGTATCATCATACCACAGCATACCACATTTTAGGGGCATTTCGAAATATGTAGCAAGGGTGTACGTTCTCCAGGACGACTGCTGCAATTATGATTGCTGTTCGTGTTGAGTTACGATTGTTTTGCACTTGCTGCCAGGATCAACCGTGGGTTGCTGTGCTACTAAGGTTATCAGTACGTGTTGGTCGCATTGGTCTTGACAGTGCTGCTCGGGTCTTCTACTGTAGAAGTAGTGGTAAGTTGTCGTACTACTAATACCAGTGGCCTTTCTTGTGATGATTGTCCTGTCCTTATGACTATCTTACTAGCAGTACCTGTTCAGCCGAGAACAGAGGGAATTATCGCGAGTGTAAGAAGAGCAATCTTGATATGGTCTGCTCAAAGCGATTATTCGGGCTCCTGGTTTACATACCCCAAGCAACCCTAAACCCTGAAGCCTAACCCCCCCCCCCCTCAAAAAAGACAAACGTAGACCCTGCCTGGACACTAAGCCCTAGACCCTAAGCTTGCTTCCGCAGGCCCGATGCACTGACAGCAAAAGCTCTGGGCCACGTCGTTGGCGCCCAGAGCCCTCGTAAGGGCATGGCTTGGTTGGAGAAGGCCGGGACAAGAATTTCTTGGTGAATGGTCTTGTGTTTATATATATATATATATATATATATACACATATATACACACACACATGTTTATGTCTATAAAACTGTAGCATACATACATGTTTGTGTTTATGTATACATATATATATATATATATATATGTATGTATATATATATGTATGTATATATATATATATATCTGTGTGTATGTATACAGATAGATAGAGTCCCTGTCCGAGGCCCGAGCTATATGGGAAGCCCTGTGATGTGGCGGTACAATGCTGCCCTTCTAGCATGTGATGCACAGAAGTTTGCCAGCTCGATTTGACATGCTCCTGATGTGCGGCCAATGTGCCATGTTGACCATGTGGCAGCTACAGTGCAACGAACTCTTACTGTGTCTGTGAGGCCCGAGCCCTTTGAATTACGGCTCAACGACAGGGTGCCTCCTTGAAGCCTACCCAAGTACCGAGTTGTGATACAAAAGCCTTCGTTGCTCTTGGATGCTGGCCCGATACATAGGCCACATGGTCAAGTCATGTCGGATGAATCAAGGTATGCATTCAGGCAATATATACATGTATGAGCTTTTCTGCCATTTACGCGTTCAGTTGTTCACCCAAATGTGCAGCCGATGCATTTGTAACTTCGATTACTACCAGTCTTTCTGCTATGATTAACATGAGTGTCAGTACTATGATTATCACTAGTTTTGCTACTACGTAGTACTCTTTCTGTTATTTCTGTTATCGCCGGTATTTCTGTTGTTACCTTTATTCCTGTTTTCGCTGGTAACCTTGTCAGTGCTCTTATTATATACTACTGTAGCCTTTCTAGGTGGCCCCACACTTCCTGTGTCTACATCCTCGCTTTCAGGCGCTCCAGATGGCGGACACGACGATTAAGGCGGCCTCTTTGGGAGAATACGGGAGTAGTCGTTCAGGGTACAAGGGTCTAAGTCTCTATAGCTTATAGTTTACAACTTAAAGCTTGAAGTAGTCCCAAATCACGTCCAGGGAAGCCGCGGTAAAAACATGCTCTGTAAACGTCGGTGATGTTGGTGTTCTTTGGGGGGTGTTGTTTCGTGGCACGCGTCTGTGTGATCAGGCACTCATACTCTGTCCTTGATTGGCCTCGTGTCTTTCAAAGTGGATAAGCACAGCAAACCATGAGTGGTGCCGCGCGGTTTTTCGCAGGACGGCATCGGCGTGGGCCTGTCCACTGATCAAGCTGCATCTGCCTACCATGACATGGCCGTCCTCGAGTCGCGAGTGTCCGATGCCCAGCTAGGGTTCAGGCTCAGGGGGACTGGACTGGGATCGTCTCTTGTTTAAAGTGTCGCCGTCGCCTGCGCTCAGGAAGAAGCCTGATGTGAAGCGAGTCGCCGACCTTTACAAGAAGAGTTTGTGGCTCGTTCCAGATCGGCCGATCACTCAGGCCAGCGCCCGAGAGTCTCAAAACACGAAACACAAAACCTACAAGCCCCGAACCCTAAATCCTAAACCCTGGTATTGCGGCTGGAGACTAGTGCAGTTGCAAAAAGGCCCTCAAAAAAAGAAACAGGTATTGCAGGCGCCAGAAGCCGCGAACCCTTGGCTCCGCAGGAGAACTATGGCCTGACACTCGCCGTCATGGGTCGCTTCGAGGATGCGCTTGGAGCTCTCAAGAAGGCCGAACCCTACAGTAGAAGCCAGAAAGTTGGAATAGCATTATCCTAACCCCTTTAAGGTAAATTATAGGGGATCCTGCCATTAATCCATATTCCAACTTTCTGGAGTTCCCTTAAAAACCTTAAACCCTACGGGACTTGGGGCCCCTTTGGGCCTAGCATGGAGGTCCTTGCAGATGAGGTTGGGGGGGGGGTTATCATCTATCACATATCACAAACGACATGTGATACATACTAACAGTTACTTAGTGTTAGTTCACTCTATATATATATATATATATATACACACATAGATTTATCCATGTATTGAACAATTGTTTTCTTTATATACATATACATGTACATATACATGTACATATACATATACATATACATTATACGTTATACATATACATATACACAGACATAGACATAGACATATACATATACATCTATAATATATATATATATATATATATATATATATATATTATATATATATATATTATATATATTATATATATTATATTATATTATATTATATTATATTATATTATATTATATTATATTATATTATATTATATTATATTATATTATATTATATTATATTATATTATATTATATTATATATTATATATAATTAGCAGTTTGCTGGAAGCCAGGCAGAGCAGCTTGGCCGCGGAGATTCCGCAGAGCTGCAGAACGGGCCAGGGGCCCATGGGGCCGGGAGATGCGAGGGGTTTCGGGTTTTTTTCGGGGGGTTAAGGGTTCTAGGTGTGAGAATTAGGATTTAGGGGTTGGGGTTTAGGGTTTAGGATGTTAGGGTCAGGGTTCAGGGTTTACGCTTAGGGTTTAGGGTTTAGGATTTTCGGGTCAGGGTTAAGGGTTTAGGGTTAGGGTTTACGGTTTAGGGTTTCGGGGGGCTTGACAATGAAGTGAGGTGAGCAAACACGGTGCAAGGAGCTGTCAGAGTCCTAGTTTCAGGCTCGGAGCAATTTACTTCCAGCAGGGCCAGCTGCAAAAAGTCCGCTTCCAAGAAATTGGAGTTTCCGAAATCAATTAGGGATACCCTTATTACCTTATGAAAAGGATCCTACTATATTTAGGTACTATATTAGGGTCCCCTATTCTCGGAAACTGCCAAATCTCCACAGAGCTCGGTGGCCTTGATCCTATGTGAGGGCGGTCACCACAGTCTGGCTGCGACTCAGGCAAAGTCTCGTTTCAGGAAAGCTACTGAGTGCGGACCCAAATCTCAGAGAGCAGCTGTTCGTTCAGGTGTAGTGTTTCTGTCCCGCAACTGTGTTCATCGGGGTCTAAACCCTACTATTACCCTAAACCCTAAACAACCCTAGTCCGTAATCCCTAAACCCTGTAATTACCCCAAACCCTACTTGGAGGGCCGGGGGACCTAGTAACTTGTTATTTTAGGGACTTATAAGTACCATAACCCCAATTAGGGTCCCTTTTAGGGTACTTATAAGTCTACTTACTACCTACTTGCTAAGTCCTCCGACCCTCCCAGTATTACCCTAAACCCTAAACAACCCTAGCCCCTGCTGTAATCCTTAAATCCTGTAATTACCTTAAATCCTAGTCCCTAATTCCTAAGCCCAGGTTACGACCTGGTTGGAAGGATGCGAGGGACAACTTGGATGCTGCAGCGGCCACAGCTTGGAGAGCAGCGTTGGGTTCGTGAGAAGGGTTTAAGCAAAGGAACTAATAAAGGGGCCGTAATGATTCCAGATTATCTTGGGGGCTTATCATTATATGTATTTGTACAACATAATTACCCCAAACCCTGTTCTAATTATTAAGGCCCCTTATTAGCCAAGGTGATGGCTGAGCTGAAAGGATCCGGGGGGCAAAGATCGACTCCCAGCACCGGCACCAAGCCAAATAAAATGCTTCCGTTGCTGCCGCAATTGCAACAAGGGTGTCTAGCATATTCCACGGTCGCTAGCCCCGTCACAGAGCTGAATTTTCGACTGTGACAGGGCCCTTCAAAGCCAGAAGAAAAGCTGGACCTGGACGAGCACGAGAAGGCTATCCGAGAGACCTTGCGTCGACATCCGATGCCCTAAACCCTGAGATCTGAGTCCTTGACTGACCCGGCGGACCCACATGCCTTCGGCCCGGAACCCTCAAAACCCCTAGTTGAAGTACGCCCCAAACCTTAACCGTGAACTTCCCTGAACCCTAAACCCCTGAACCCCTGAACCCCTGAACCCTAAACCTTAACCGAGAACTTCCCTGAACCCATAGCCCTGAACCCTGAACCGAGCCGCGAGCCTTGAATGCAGAGCCCCAACTCTCCAGAGACTCCAGTATCCCTTATATAGTTAAGGAATACCTAGGGTTCCTTTACGGGATTTATAAGGGATCTATAGGGTTGATGGGATTCTAACATCCCTTCACCTCCAACTATAGTAATATCGTTAATCAAATCTAAGGTGTGCTCCTTCGTAAAGGAGGGGATATCGGAGTCTCTGAGTCTCACAGGCACTGCTCAGTGAAGTGCTGGACAGATCGCCTGGGGTCTCCTGGGAGGCGATTGCAGGCCTGGACGAGGCCACCCGGGCAAAACGACTCCTCTTTTAAGGTTTAGGTGGTGTTGTTGATTTCGGGTTTAGGGTTAGATTTTTTTTGGGGGGGGAGGCGTTTAGGTGGTGTAGTTTATTTGGGTTTAGGGTTTGGGTGATTTTTTTGGTTTAGGGCCTGGGGCATTTATGCTGGCATGGAAGGTTTAGGATTCAGGATTGTCGGGCTCCCTCTCGGGTCCTATCGATTTAGCCTGTGCATGCCTACATTCACACATACATACGTACGTACATACTTACATACTCTCTCTCTCTCTCTCTGTCACTCTCTCTTTCTCTATGTATATGTATATATACACACATATACATACAGATATATATATATATATATATGTTTCTTTGTTTCTGGATTTATTTGATTATTATAATACAGCTATATATATATATATAGATATGAAGCCATCTATTGCCTACCTACCTATTTATGTATCTCCCTCTCCCTCTCTCTGTGCAGATATACATCCATGCCAATTTTACAGTGTGTGTGTTTGTATTTCATGTAAGTGTGTACGGCTGCGTGTAACCATAAGTGTATATATATATATATATACATGTACATATGAATGCACACATGCTGTCACTAGTACTCCGTGTCTCTCTTTCTCTCCCACTCTCCCTCTCTCTCTCTCTCTCTCGCTCGATCTCTCTTCTCTCTTCTCTCTCTCTCTCTCTCTCTCTCTGTTTGTCTCTCTCTCTCTCTCTGGGAAACGGTGGGTAGACTGGAGAGCACGTTGCAGCTCGCGGCATGTCCGTGTGCATCAATGGAGCTTGAAGCGCGTCAGAGGGAACAATAGTAAGGCTAGTAAGGGAGTGCACTGGTAGGTCAAGCGGCTGTTCTACGAGATTGTGGTGGCTCCGGTGCGCCGCCGATGTATCGCAGATGCTGCCATTATGTTCCCTGTAACTGTAGCGATCAACGTCAGGTCAAGAATCCACTGCTGTTTTCCGGAGTGAGGAGCCCGCCAAAAGGCCTGCTGCATTCCGCCACACCCTGCATTTCTGGCAGAAGTTGGCCAACTCTCCACAAGGGCCCCAACTTTCCATAATTGCTTCAACTTGTGTTGCAGTAGTTATGCTGCAGCGTTCGTGCCCTGTACGACTCATGGACAAGTCTCGACGTGGTCTTTGTGAAGTAATACAGGGGCCTCATTAGCCATGATAATATTTACCTGTGCTATGTTGCGGGTTTCGTATTACAACTATAGCATCGTGGCCCCAAAACTCTTTTCTAATTATTAGCGCCTCTATATTATATCCTTATAATAGCCTTTATAGTCGCCCTTATAGACCCCTTTAAAGGGACCCGATTCTAATTATCGGCGGATTAAGGCCCCTATAGTATTTGCATGGAAAGGCGTGCTGCTGTTTGGACCCCCTGGAAACGGGAAGACGATGCTGGCCAAGGCACGACCAGGGTCGGTTTAGGGTTGAGGGTGCAGCAGGAGTGCCAAGCCTAAGGCAACACGGAGCTTAATTATAGCATTTGTAGAGCAAACCGCGAACTTCTCCCTTATGCTCGTATGTTGCCATCGCTTCTTCGAAGTTTCCGGTCGTGGCTGGAGGCCGTTGCAAGTGAGTGCAATGCCACCTTCTTCAGCATCTCCGCTTCCTCTTTGACTTCCAAGTGGGTTGGTGAGTGCGGCCCCCGACAGTCAGTGTTGATGCTGGATACAATACCATGTGATGTTAGAAGTGTAGTAATAGAAGTAAATGAGCCGTAGGCACTGCAAAAAATAGCTTCTACCCCCACTACTACCACTACAATCACTACAACCTACTACTAGCAGAAGTGCCTCCGATCTTTATGAAGAGTAGCTAGGTCCGCTTGATTATCAACGATTCTCATGACTGTCCTGACGTTCACTAGCGGTGTGTGCTCCAGTACCCATCATGACTTTTGGGACATCCGACTCTTCCCCGTCCGAGGTCGGAGAAGCAGATGCGAGCTCTCTTTAGCCTCGCCAGGCTTGATCCTGTTCCGTAGAGCACTCCTTCGCTCTTCTTCTTGGCTTTGGGATGTCATTTGCATTTGGGGGGGTTGGGGGGGTGGGGGTCGGGGGGGGTATTAAGCTTCCTACTTTCCCGTCACTATGCGACTACCTGCGTCCTGTTGCCCGGCTACAGCCCCGGAGGAAAATGCAGCCTGCAGTCATCTTCATGGATGAGATTGATTCCATGCTCACAAGCCGGTCTGCCGGTGAGCATGAGGCACCGGGAGTGTCTCGCGTCTTTCATGGTTTCGCAGACAGTTCCTCCCGTCTCCCCATCCTATCACGAAGATGCCCTCCCGGTAAAATCGAAGTCTGAACAAAAACCCATATTATTCTTTAGGGCTCCTTGTTATAACTCTACAATAAAGGAGCCCAAAAGCCTATTCCAATTTTTAAGCCCCCGACGTTATCATTCCCAGAGCCTGCAATTGCCCGCAGGCGGCGAGACGCCTGAAGACAGAATTCCTTGTACCTGGGCTTTGGAGTACCACATACTTTCATACTTTTTCTTCAAGGAGCCATCATGACATAAAAAGTTTTTTCTCCCTGGTCACTAAAACAGCCCAGGTACAGTTGGATGGTGCTGCTTCAGGCTGGCCCGAGGCGACAGTTAGTGAAAGATGTAAAGTCGTGGTCAGGCGGTGACGACCGAGTTCTAGTACTGGGAGCTACCAACAGGCGCGTGTTCGCAGCTTTAGAGTAGCTTGAGCGTCTCGACTGCTTTGCAACATACCTGTGTGTGTTTTGTGTGCGCGTGCGTCGTGCTCCGAACCCGAGTTTCATGCAGACAATGTGGACCTCGATACGGAGGGCAGTCGAGCCGGATCCGCCATAGCTCATTTTGAGGGACGAACTCGGAAGAGGGCCAGAAGCAACATACGACAACAGTTTACCACAAGCAAGTAGACTTTGCATGATGTAGTGCCCAGCGCACCACGGTGCCTGGAGAGCTACATGGCGCAAGCTTCCCCGGGCATTCCGGGACGTTGGCCCGCATGCCGCCAATATGCAGCGAGCCTACCTCCTTTCAGTTCATGTCGGAAGAGCAGTGTGTGTCTCTCTCTCTCTCTCTCTCTCTCTCTCTCTCTCTATATATATATATATGTTCTATGTATGTATGTAATTTGTATTTGTGTTTGTTTCGCGCATTATATATGTGTGTATATATGTATACACACATGCAACATGTTATTTTTTATGTGCTTGCTACTTTTACATGTACATGGTTTCATTTTTCGACTTATCTATATGCCTTTTATATCTTACTTTATGTAGTTATATGTTTGTGTATTTATGAACGTATATGTATATTTGACAAGACTGACTACTGTGTAACGCAGATACGATCAACAGCACTGCTGAGATTGGCACGTTTCCACTACCCCTAGCATAGGCAATGCCACAAACCCTAAACTCCCAGCCCCCCAGAACACCTAAAACCCTAAACCCTTAAACCCCTAAAGCCCTAAACCCTTAAACCCCTAAAACCCTAAACCCTTAAAGCCCTAAAACCCTAAACCCTTAAACCCCTAAGACCCTATGTTTTTAAACCCCAAGCAAGTGAGCCCGCGTAGCGATCGCTTCAACTGCTTGGCTTTCTTTCGATCCGAGGCTGTCGCTTGCAGCCACAGCACCATTAAGCCTCTCCGAGGCACCTGCTCAACTGTTGAGCTGTTCGGAATAGTATTATATAACAATAGTAATAATAGTAATAATAGTAATAATAGTATTAATAGTAATAATAGTAATTATAGTAATGGTATTAACAATAGTAAAAATAGTAATAATAGTATTAACAAGGGTTTAGTCCCAGGATTAGGGCTTAGAGTCTTTGATGTGTTGGCCGCTCAGAAGTCACATGCCAAGAGCTGTGGCTTCAGCTACAACCGTGAGATGACCAGGACCCAGAGCCTCCAAAACCCTTTAATTAAGGAATATACCTTAAAGTATAGTAGGATCCATAATATGATTTAAGGTATATTCCTTAATTAAGGGGTTTTGGAGGCTCTGGGGAAGTGTGGGAACAGAAGCCAGTGCTGAAGCAGTAATGAAAAGCCCAAGCCGGTTGTTGTCGCTTTTCGATCCCTAAACCCTTAACCCTTAGACCCTAAACCCTGAACCCTTAGACCCTAAACCCTTAACCCCTTGGACCTTAAACCCGAAACCCATAACCCTGAGACCCCAAACCCTAAACCTTTCACCCTCAGACCCTAAACCCTTGACCCTTAGACCCTAAACCCATAAACCCTGAACCCCTAAACCCTAAACCCGACCCTTAGACCCTAAACCCAAAAACCCTAAACCCCAAACAGCAGGATTCGCACGGCCAGGAGTTCAGCCCTCGGTGCTGCATCTTTGGACATCTGCGCTGGTGCTTTGGGGTCTAAGTTTGGCGCTTTTGGGGTTTAGGGGTTTAGCGGTTTAGGTTTTAGTGGTTCGTGTTTAGGGGTTTAGGGTTTAGGCTGGCGTCCAGAAAACCAACAAGAAATCAGAATAGGGTATTAGCACAGTTCGACGGGTTTCGACTGCACCGAGCGCAGTGAGGTCCGAGTTGCCTCAAATGACAATAGGAGCACAGCCAGTTTCTACAACTGCCGGCTGAAGATACCATGAAAGGGCTGGGCTGTTTTCTTCAACAGTGGTGGACGCTATTCATGTCGGTAGTGCGATTTTGATGTGCTAGCTCGGTTGGCTTAGCACAGCAGTGTTACCTGTTCTTACCCTTGGCTCAGGCAGTACTAAACAAACAGCGAAGTTTGTAAAACAAGCGGAGGGCGGCCGGACCGCCACGGCCACGGAGATAGTATAAAAGCGGTTTGTCCGCATGCTTTAAAACACCAGAGGTTCCCTAATTGTAAAAGGACTTGGCGGCCGGAGTCCGACGGTCACTTAAGTAGTATAAAAGAGCTGTTTGGATGTTTGGGAACCCGCATGTTAAACAAGTCGCCTCACATTATCATTACCAGCATCGGAACAAGAAGTGGGAGTGGTAGTGGCATTGGCAGTGGTAGTAGTAGTAGTAGTAGTAGTAGCAGCAGCAGCAGCAGCAGCAGTCGTAGCAGTAGTAGCAGCAGCTGGAGTAGTAGTCGTCGTCGAATTAATCACAATCGTAGCAGCAGTAGCAGCAGCAGTAGCAGTAGCAGCAGCAGCAGCTGCAGGAGTAGGAGTAGGAGTAGGAGTAGGAGTAGGAGTAGGAGTAGGAGTAGGAGTAGGAGTAGGAGTAGGAGTAGGAGTAGGAGTAGGAGTAGGAGTAGGAGTAGGAGTAGGAGTAGGAGTAGGAGTAGGAGTAGGAGTAGGAGTAGGAGTAGGAGTAGGAGTAGGAGTAGGAGTAGGAGTAGGAGTAGTAGTAGGAGTAGGAGTAGGAGTAGGAGTAGTAGTAGTAGTAGTAGTAGTAGTAGTAGTAGTAGTAGTAGTAGTAGTAGTAGTAGTAGTAGTAGTAGTAGTAGTAGTAGTAGTAGTAGTAGTAGTAGTAGTAGTAGTAGTAGTAGTAGTAGTAGTAGTAGTAGTAGTAGTAGTAGTAGTAGTAGTAGTAGTAGTAGTAGTAGTAGTAGTAGTAGTAGTAGTAGTAGTAGTAGTAGTAGTAGTAGTAGTAGTAGTAGTAGTACGTAGTAGTAGTAGTAGTAGTAGTAGTAGTAGTAGTAGTAGTAGTAGTAGTAGTGGTAGTGGTAGTGGTAGTGGTAGTGGTAGTGGTAGTGGTAGTAGTGGTAGTGGTAGTGGTAGTAGTAGTAGTAGTAGCAGTAGTAGTAGTAGTAGTAGTAGTAGTAGTAGCAGTGGTCGTAGTGGTAGTGGTGGTAGTAGTCGTAGTGGTAGTAGTCGTCGTAGTAGTAGTAGTAGTAGTAGCAGTAGCAGTAGCAGTAGCAGTAGTAGTAGTAGTAGTAGTAGTAGTAGTAGTAGTAGTAGTAGTAGTAGTAGTAGTAGTAGTAGTAGTAGTAGTAGTAGTGGTAGTGGTAGTGGTAGTAGTAGTAGTAGTAGTAGTAGCAGTTGCAGCAGTAGTGGTGGTAGTTGGTGTAGTAGCCGTAGTAGTAGTAGTAGCAGCAGGAGTGGTAGTAGCAGCAGTAGAAGCCGTAGTAGTCGTAGTTGACGGGAAGGCTGGAACAGCGCTTCATTCTCGCATGGGGTGCAAACGCCAACCGCCAGTGCTTCTCTGACGAGGCATTGCAGTCTGCTGCTGGCTGGGTGCTAATTTAGGAGGTTCTAATAGTTTGGGGTTCAGCTTTGTGCTCCTGCACCGCACCCCGTATCGCGGCCCACGCTGTTGGAAAACCTGAAGGAGACCCCCGAGGGCTTTTTGTGAAGGGTTTGCGGCAACCGTGCGAAAGGCCAGGGTGGTGCCCTCCCCCCGGCATGTGCCGTTTCATCGGCCACTTCGATCTCTGGCCGCAGGCGCCAGCAGATACTGCACTTGCTTATAATCGCTATGGGAATGCCAGGACATCAAGAAGTTGGTGTAAAGGTCGGCTTTGGACAGGACCTATAGTTGTGCGACAGGCTGGGAAGGATCTTTGGTGGTTGACGCTGACGGCAGCCGGTCGCCAAGTTTCGCCATCCTGCGTGGCATGCGTGCCGGATACAAGTGTGGCTGTGTGAAGGCCTCTGGGGCGGCGGCAGCAATCGTGGCCAATGCTTGTCAGAAGAGCTGAGTGCGCTGCCCAGCTGGCATGTCGGCCGCAAACAATCCGGACGGGCTGGCGACGAAAGCCAAGGTGACGAGCAAGTTCCTCTCTCGCGGCTTGACATTGCAGAACTTGTCAGGGCCCCAGTTTCCATCTTCATCCTCAAGAGTGTGACGCAGTGGACAACAGGATGGTGTGCCCTTCGAAGCAGCCCAGTCGGATGCCAAAGTTTTGCTGAGAAAATTTGTGCTTTGGGGTCGGACTATGCTCTTCTTCTCACATTGAGGATGGGTCGAGATCACATCCTCGCAGTTCTCGAAGGTGGCCGGGCAGTGATTTCCTGGGGTCCTTCCAACGAGTCTGAGGCTCAGTTTTCCGAATCCCATGGGCCGATTTTCCGAATCCCATGGGCCGACCTGGAGGTTCATGGCTAGTTTTAAGTGAGGTCACTAAGTAGGATAACTATACTTATAACCCATGTTAAGGGTAACTATGTTAAGGGTAACTATATATACTTATAACCCATATTAAGGGGCTTCTGAATTATGGCCCCACTTATGACTACCCATGAACCTCCAAGTAGGCCCTAAACCCTATACCCAAAAAGAATCCCTATAGATCCCTCTTAAGGGACCCTCAAAGGAACCCTTATGACTACCCATGAACCTCCAAGTACCTCTGCCTACTGTTGATGATATAAATCCTGCATTACCCCACAATAAAGGAATATACCATAGTTCCCATAGTCTAGGGCCCTGAAGGTAATGCAGGATTTATATCATCAACCCTAAACCCTAAACCCTATAGATCCCTTAAAGGAAACCCTTAAAGGTATCCCTATAGATCCCTTTAAAGGAGCCCTAGGGATGTATATCATCAACCCTACCTCCTTTCTTGCAGCTCAGGTTTGGGCAAATCGGACACGGGCTACCGTATCGCTGGGCACTTACTATAGGGGCCTCAATAATTGGGCAGTTACCCTAAACCCTGGCGGTTAGGGGTTTAGAGGTTTAGGGTTTAGGGCTTACTATAGGGGCCTCAATAATTGGGCAGTTGCGAAAATTA